TTCACATTCATAGTCCCTAAGGAGTTATTTTGACAACCTTCTGCAGTATATCTGACTGCACTAATGAAAGCCAGGGGATAATTGTTGATAACAATTTCACTTTGTATTCTGTAGGAACATGCCATAATGAGGAATCAACAAGAAAGCACACTTGTACTTTAACTACTTACTTGGATTCTCAGACCACTAGACTAACCCGAACCTAAGGCTCAATGAAAGAGGTCTTGGAGAAAAATAAATTCTTAAACTAGGCTAGAGGCTAGGAAGAGTTTCCTGAGTATAAAATTATAAACCACTGAAAAGAAAGCAATGAAACAAACATTCCAAAGCATATGTTGGAAAAAAAACACAGCAGAATCTGGAGACGTTTAAGCAAAGAGTAAATGAATGCTTCCCCAATATAGATATACTCCAAGCCATGCCACCTAATTTATACCTATCCCTCTCTTTCAATCATGTTCTGATAAGACTTTGTTCCCATTAGCAGACTGCTCAGTGGGAAGCATTGCAATACATCTCGATCCCTGTGAACCTACAGAGATCTTAACTACCCTCTCCACTTCTTTCTGTCCCTTCAGGGTCACTTCCAAATGGAAACATCAACAACGTGAAAAATTACATTCAAAATAAAGACACAATTCACTGAGCAGAGCTACTTGTAGAGTGACCCTTCTGAGAATTCAAATCCAAAGGCAGTATAAGTTCATTTTAAAAATGCTTTCCCACTGCTTCTTCACTTCTGTAAACTCAAGCTGTGCTTCAAGATCCACCTGGAGCTTTGCCTGCCATTGTTTCATGTGCTTAGTCCAGTGCAGGGGGCTCTGTAAAAATGAAGCAGCAGCATTAGATGGCTTCTGAGGTTCTTTCTAGTGCTATCTCTAAGATCCTCATTTCTCAGATTTTATGGTAAGTTCCCTGAGGGAAGAGACTCAGTTCTGGATGCCTATTCCGTCCACCCCAGCCCCCCCCCCCAGTGGAATGCTAGGCAGATGAAAGATGCTCCTTATATAATGATTGTGGAACAGATTTTCTTTATGCTAGCTAAACAGTGAAATTGGCATGTGTGTGGTAGCCATTGCTACAAGCAGACGTCTCAGAATCAGGCTAGAGAAGAACAGAATTTTCATTTGATTTGACAACAGTAGTAGAAAGCAAATAAAACAAGCTTTCTTATGATTCAATTAAAATGAATAGATGCTTATTAAGTACTTAAAATGCCCAAAGCATAACATTAAGTGCTAGGGGATTCTAAAATGAAGATTACAGAGTCCCCAGATTGGAGAAGTCCAAATAAGACATCTTGAATAACTCTAACAAAAATTAAAATATAATGAGTACCCAGGAGAGGCACAAACAAAGGAAATGGAGAGATCCAAGGAGGAGAAATTACTTTGGGCAGTGGGGAAGCTTAGACAAATTAATGTTTTGATATATCACAAGAAAAGAGGAAGGAAGGCACAGTAGACAGCTGGCTTGCTTTGGAATCAAGAAAATCTGGTTTCAAGCATTGCCTCTAACACATACTGACTGTGCGACCCTGAGCAAGCCATTCAAACTCTGAGTAGCCCAAGCACCATTCTAAGACTCTAAATTGCAGAGCAGCTGCCAGTATCCAATCACTAGAGGGAGTCTTTTTTTAAATTGGGAGTTACCTACACCAATGAAAATTACAGGTATAGGCCAAAAAATATAATATAAGAGGTGACTGAGGGAACTTAAGAATGTCTATAGATATCTCCTTGGATCCCTGTATCGTTACCTTGTTATGGCAGAGGGGCTTGCACAGCTCAATGAAACTATGAGTTATACTGCTCAGGGTTAAGCAAGACAGACAGGTCGTAGCAGAGAGTTCTAACAAAAAGTGATCCACTGGAGAAGGGAATGGCAAACCAACCCATTATCTTTGCCAAGAAAATCGCACAGACAGTGTTAAAATCCTCAAGGATATGACAGGTTGGAAGGTGGTCAATATGTTCAGTGACCATGAGCTTGGACAGATATTGGGAAACAGAAGAACTTGGTGTGTTATGATCCACAGGGTCATGAAGAGTCAGACTTGACTTAACAATAAACAGCAACAGATATCTCATGTCATTCTCCTGTTCAAGCAGACCATGAACAACCTGCTTTCTGATTACATGAAATTTAAACCACTACGCTTGATTTCAAAGTCCATCATAATCTAAACCAATCTATCTTTCCAATGAATGTTTGTTGAGTCAGTCATGGTCAAGACAGTGCACTGGATTCTATGAGGGGTAAAGGGAAGCAAAAGGCATAGTCAGTCCTTCTTTGAAGGAGCTTGCAGCCTAATTGGGGAGATGAGGCAAATATAAGAAAAGGCAATTCACAATATATGACAGGATATGATGAGACTACAAATCTTACAGGAATTCAGGTTGGGTCTTGAAGAATGCATAAACTTTGGGTAGTTGTGACAGCTGGGTCCATGGAATTTTGATGCTGAAATCCCCTCTGATCTAGAGGTCCTGGATAGCCTGAGTCTATAGTCTAGTTGCTGTTTCAGAGTAGGTCCACCCTTAGTCCAGAGAATTCAGCTACAAAGTTATGGGAAGATGGAAGAAGGGGCCAGTTGGGTGGCTTGTGTTTTATGAGGAAGCAGAGGAGACAAGAACATGTTCCCTAAAGTGCAAGACCCTGGGCACTTGGTGCCAGTTGTAGGTCTGATGAGAAAGAGGGAGGAGAAACTGAAAGTAGGAAGACAAGTGAGGAGTAGCCTATAGTAGCCTAGGCATGACATGATAAAGTCCTGAATCGAGGGTTTGTGAGTGGAAATGTAAAGGAAGACGTAGAGACTAAACACAGAAAATGGTGACTATATGAGGGAAGAAGGGGTGACAATTCCACATGACCTGGTTATAACTGTCATCTATAGTCATGCTCATGTCTCTTCATTCTCTAACAACAACAGCAGCACCAGCAGCAATAACCCTTCCTTTGCCCTGAGCAGGTCCTTCGATGATGCTGGAAAGAACTGATTTTGTCCTCTGCTTTTACTTTCTCCCCAACCTCTCATTCATCTGTCTTTTGCAATATAGCCTCCTGCCCAACCCCACTTTAATAAAACTGTTCTCTCTAAGGTTATCAGGGATCTCTTAACTGTCAAATCCAGTGACTTTTTCTTTCATGCCTCTTTTGCCTTAGCCTGTCTGTGAATTATGAAACTAGTGACCATACCTCCTCATATAGCACAGAAGGGACCTCAGAGGTCATCTGATCTGACTTTTACCTAATTAAAAAAATCCTCAACACTGCTCAACAGGGTTTAAAACTCAAGGATTCTGGGCTTCTCTTAAAGGTCTCAGGTGAGGGGGTACCAACTTATCATCATCATCATCACTACCACCACCACCACCACCAGCATTTGTGTAGCTCTTTAAGGTCTGCAAAGCACTTTACAGACATAATACTATCTACAAAGATATAATCTATATTTTCTACAAAGGCGGCCCATTCCACTTTGGATCACTGATTAAGACAGTTGAAGACAGTTATCAAGTTCTCTTAAGGCCATGTGACCTTGAACCAATCACTAAAACTAAATCACTAAAGTAATATTTACACTGTCTACCACATGGAATATTTTGAGAATTGAGTGAGATTCTGTATAAAAGCGCTCAGGAGCAGGGAGTCATAGGTTGAGTTGGAAAGGACCTCAGAGGCCGCTTCATCCAGTGCCTTAATTTTCTAGGTAAGGAAACTGAGGCAACCCAGAGAGAAGTAATTTACCTATGTTCATGCAGGGGGAATTGGCAGAGTTAGAAACCTGAGTCCCCTGACCATAAAGCCAGGACTCATTCTATTGGACTGTGTTTTCCTAATACATGATAATGTATAATACAGAAGTATTCATAGATTAATACTTAGCATATAATATACAGTAATATATTAGTGATAATTAATATATAATAAATAAGTTCACTGTATGAATCTGAGGTGTTATTTTAGTCTGACTCCTCACAGACTGATTCACTTGGAGATCTTGAGCAGCAAAATCAGCCCAGGGTAACAAAGTTTTCTGATGAATATGAACATGTACACACATTAGCTGTTTGAATATAAGCAGTTGGGTGATATGGTGAACAGAGTATTAGACCTTGAGTCAGGAAAACCTGAATTCAAATACTGCTTCAGATAGTTACTAGCTGTGTGGCCCTAGAAAAGTCACTTAACTTCTCCTTGCTTTAATCCACCCGAAAAGGCAATGGCAAACTACTTCATTATTTTTACCAAAAAAACCCCATGAACAGCATTGGCACGCTACGGTCCACAGGGTCACACAGAGTCAGACGTGATTGAACTGAACAGCAGCAGCATGTATGTACACACATGCACACAAATTCTGCACATTAAATATCTCCACAATAGTGTGTACCATATATGTATATGTTTCTATTTATGTATTTACATATATTTCTATATATTTAGTTTGCCTCAGTTTCCATATATGTAAAAATGGGAATAATAATAGCACCTTCCTCCCAGGTTGTTGTAATGATCAAATGAAATGAAGTAGGTAAAGCATGTGTGCATATATACACTGTATATATACATGCAATTATATTCATTAAATATCTCCATAATAATGTGTATCATATATTCATCTATTGCTATCTATTTATCTATTTCTATTTATGTCTTTACATAAATCTTTTACGGATATGTTACAGAAATCTTTATAGATTTCTATGTATTTCTATTTACATATGTGGATCCACATCTTTTGGGATACTTGTAGGAAAAAAGGATAATTTTAGAGATTTTTAAATAGGGCAGGGATGGTAGCAAAGCAGTCCAGTCCTGATGCTACCTTTGGTTTACATGTGGGGGCACCTAGGTTGTGCAGTGGATAGAGCCTGGGCCTCAGAGTCAGAAGGACCTGAATTCAAATGTGACCATAGAAACTTGACATTTAACTAACTGTGTGTCCCTGGACTTACCCCATCTTGCCTTGCCAAAAAGAAAAAAAAATTACATACTTAGGTAGAGGTGGAACCCTAGTAAGTGTCCGAGGAACAAGAGGCTCACAACGCTCAGCAGCAAAGTGACCACAGCTATGGTCAGGAGCACAACGGGAGATGTCTGCACTGGAAACCAAGGGAGGAACGCCAGCCATATGTTTTGAGGACAGTCTAACGAGGCAAAGGGAGAAGAAAGAGCGTGGAGGTCAAATTCATCTCTCTAGGAATCAAACCACATTGGACAAAATTTCTAATAAAGAACCAAAGACCGCTGAGCCCATCCTCTTTCGGAGTGAGATTTTTCTCCCCCTACTTCTTTTCTAAAAAGGTCATGCTCAAACAAAAATCTCAACAGCTTTCTCCACCCCCACCCCCAAATCCCAGGTGTTGGTAATATTTGCAGACTTTTAAATGTTTAATATCTCTATTTATTTAAACATTTAAAATTTGAAAATTCTTGAAATACCACCTATTCTAGAAATCTTTACTGGATAGCTTGCAATAACAACACTGAAAGTAACCTGCATTTGTCTAGTGCTTGAAGGTTTGCAAAGTACTGTGGAAGAAAAGTTATGCCTTCTTCCAGCCCTATCCTGTCTTTCTGGAGGACTCCAAGCATCCTCTCTCTTGCCCCCCTCTTATGGTGATCTGTATGTGACATCAACATAGCTAACCTATCACTGTGTGTGTTTCAAGTTTCTGTTCTACCCTCTGTAGGCTATTTGTTACCTTATACCAATGCTGCCTTAGCTTGGACTATATCTAGATTTCAGGAGTGATATTTGTAAACTCTCTGTACTTAAATGATTCTGCTTTCTGGATGATACTAAAAAAGTTCATTTTTTATACTCATACTGTACCCATATGAGTAGGTGATTAATAAATTATTTTTGGGTGATAATGTTGATCATTTGTTGATGTTTAAGAAAAAATACCAAGAGGGATGGTATAGGTGTGTATGGGTTAGTACTCAATCTTAGCTTCAGAGTTTAAAATTTAGGTTCTGATACAAATCATAAAGAAAAGAATATTCAAGGATAAATTGTAGTCTACCAATATGTATATATCTTCACATATATATATATACACACACACACATATACAGAAAGAGAAAACAATAAAGCATTTTATTCTAGCATGGCTTTCAAAAGTTAATGCCTTCTGCATTAGGTTACTTTTGTATACTTTGTACATAGCTTGTATATACCTAATTAAATGTTATCTCCTCGATTAGAATATGAGTTTCTGGAGACCAGGGACCACATTTTTGCTTTTCTTTGCATCCTCAGTGCTTAGCATAGTCCTTAAAACATTGTATTTAATTTAACAGTACTCAATAAATACTTTTTGACTGATTAATTAAAGTCAATAAATAATAAGGCCTTTCAAGCCAGGCAGGAGTCAGGCACTACATCTATATATCTGCATGAGTAATGCCTGCCTATACTTGACTCTAACCTCAATAAACATGCTTTTGGGTTTTTTTGTTTGTTTGTTTGTTTTAAGCATTATAGACATTTAACTTGGCAAATTTTGAAAACTGCTGGCCTAGGTACCTAAAGAAAGAAGCCTGCATTATGGCAAGAAAATGTTAAACTCTCCCAAATGGCCCATCACAGGAATTATTAACCTGCTATCCATGAATTTATTTTAAAAAATATTTTGGATTCTGAATATGAGAATTTCTATGTGGTTTTTGTGCATTTAAAAATACAATTCTTAGAAAAGGTCCATAGGCTTAACTAGTCTGACCAAGGGGTCCAAACAAGGTTAAGAGGCCCTGATCTATCAGATCTGTGCCTTTTAAAGGTGTACAGACCTGGAAAGACTATGTTCTTTCTGATGAGTGAGTGAACATGCTGGCTACATAGCAGAAAATGAGAATTTGTTTCAAAAGTGGAAACACAGGGTTTAATGAAATAGTGACATGCTTCACCACCCCAATCATGTTGGCCTGTGCTAGCTTTTGTTCGGTGCCAACCTTCATTGTACTTGAACTTGTTTTTAATGAAAGGGATTGCCTTTGTGAATTTGGAGTGTGAATTACATGCTTGGTTTAAATTATTTTATTTCCTGGGTGATACAAAAAACTTTAATTCTTTTTTATTCTACATCCCTGTGAGTGTAAGCAGGAGCAATGTTCTGGAAAAAGGCTCACAGGGCTCTAGAAAAAGGCAAGAAAGTTTACTGGAGAAAACTCACTTGGGGAGGTGACAGTGACAGACCATGAGACGTCATGAGTTAACACTCTGGGTAGGGAGGGCCTGGTCAGGAGTGAGAAGATAAAAGGGACTCTTCCCCCCCAAGAAGTAAGAAGTACCTAGAAGGTGAATTTTTATAGTCCGCCTTTGACGGACAACAGTTCAGGGTCACTACTAAGTAGTACAAAACACTGGGGCTCTGGCAGGAATCTGCTAATTGTGAATAAAATTTACCTGAACATTAGAAAAAAAATGTCAAAGCCTAGGGAAAAGAAAAGAAGGGAGAGCTCCAAAGAAACAGGTGGGTCAAGCCTAATTCAGAGCATAGCTGACTCAGGTGCCCTTAGCAACAAAATCTCAGACACAGCCAAAAGAAGCAGTCATAAAATCTATCAGCAAGAGAGATGCAGAAATGATTATCTCAGTCCCAGAAAGTATGGAGGGGAAAGGGAAGTATCCAATGACCTTCATAGAGTACATTCTGCCTGTGTTTCTGTTGGTGTCATGTGGAAATGATATGCTTACTCTAGTGGGCCACATTTTTTTCTTCTCCAGATTGATGGACCAATGGACTTGCAGTCAGGAAGACCCAGTTCAAATCCTGCCTCAGATACTAGCTGTTGGCTCTGGGCAAGTCATTTCTTCTGGCTAGGCTTCAGTTTCTTTATGAAATGAGGGGTTTGGATTTAATGACCACTAAGTTCCTTTTCAACTCTCAAGCTATGATCCTATGATAAATTAGTTAACAATCGATGCTGACATGGCTGTTACAACTAATCTTGGCATGGCCTTCATTAGAGAGGTATAGTAACAAGAACAATAGATGTGAATGCCTGTACTCTGCCCTTGTCAGAGTATTATGTACCATTCTGGGCAGCTCAGTTCATTTTAGAAAGGATAGACACACGTTTTACATGACTGTATATGTATAACCTATAGCAGACTGCTTACCATCTCAGGAAGTGTGGAGGGAAGGGAGGGAGAGAGAGAATTTGGAACTCAAAACTTAAAAAAAGAAGAATGTTAAAATTGTTTTTACATGTAATTGGGGGAATAAAATAGTATTTAAAAAAGAGAAAGGACAATCACAACTCAAATTTTTTTTTAATGAATGTTAAAAGTTGTTTTACATATAATTGGTGGGGGAATAAAATATTATTTAGACAAAGGAGAAAGGATAATCACAAACTGAGAGCTTCCAGAAGAGAGGGACTGGAATGGTGAGAAGACTGGAAATGATAGCCATGTGAGAACCAAGTTGGAGGAGCTGGGGGAATTGAGTGAGAAGAAAAGATTCAGGAGGCAAGAGGATAGCCCTCTTAAAGAATTGGAAGGGCTGGCATCTGAAAGAAGGATTTCTTCTTGGCCCCAGAGAGCAGAACTAGGAGAAGTGTATAGAAGGTACAGAGTGGCAGATTTAGACTACAGGTGAGTGAAAACTTGCTAACAGAGCTTTCCAAAGGTAGAATGAGTTTAATTGTAACTTAGCTTTGGGAGGTAGTAGATCACCAGAGATCTTCAAGTGAAGGCTTCATAACCACTAAGTAGCAAGGGTATTCTTGGTCAGCTATGGGTTGGACTTGAGGTTCCGAACAATTCCTGAATTGCCTTCATGATAATTTCATCCTCCAAAAAGTGGAGGAAGAGATTTGAGGAACTGCTGAATTCCAAGTTTGATTTTGACCAGTAAGGAATCATTGAAGTTTTGAGATGAATGACATCCTTGGGAGGAAATGAGTATTCCATCTTGGACTTCATGATAGAAGGAACAGAATTCCAGACGTACTTCAATTTAATTCAACACACATGTATTTATGAAGTTCTTACTAATTTTAGGTGCTATGCTAGGTACTAAAGATAAAAAGATTAAAAACACAAAATTATTCCTGCCCCCCCTCATGGACCTGAGTGAGGGTGTGTTAATAACTGGGATGGGATCAGGATAATCTGACCTGAATTCTAGGCTTGAGGAGAGCACTTTTCAATGATTTTGGAGAAAGGATGAATAGTCTCGATAAAAGTCTTCAAGAGCAATCAGTTCAAGAGAGATTTGATGCTGTTATTTAACCAGAGGAACATAAGCCTTTGCCATATGAAATAAAGTGAGGAGTTATCTAAATAGACCAATGCAGGCACAGAGAATTATAAACCAATTTAGATTTTAGTGGTACAGACAAGGAAGAAGAAAACAAGGGCAAACAAATAATTCAGAATACAAAAGAGTAGCATGGTCCTGTGAGAACGGAATCAGGAGCACTATAAAGGCTCAGAAAAAGTTAATATTAGAGGATCAAAGGCAATATAAGATGTTTTTTAAAAAGCTTGATTGGGAGCAATAGGAAGAGCGAAGAAGGCATAAGACACTGATATGATAAGAGACGATAGAGAGAATGTAAAACTATTCCATTTTTATTTTGCTTCTGTTTTCTTTACAAAGAGGAAAAAATCTTAAAACAAGAATGAGCAAGATAAAAGTGAGATGAATGGGAAGTAATAGCCAAAGAAAGTGAGGAAATGCTAAGAGCACCCACCTGCCTTCCATGAGTTCAAGTCAATAGTCAGGAAGAAGCACATCTTAGGGTACAGAGAGACCCTAACGATTGTGGAGCTACATTTAGTGAGTTTTGGAAAACAGTAGAGAACAGGACAGAGGATGCATAATTTTAGGAGGGCAGCTGCTCCTATAATAAAAAAGGGAAAAAGGGCAGAATCTGTAAGGAAGGTTCTCTTGGATCAGTTCCAAAAAGGAGTGAATGGTTTGGGAAACTACTGTTCAGTAAGCCTTGAGGAATAGGCTAGGGTCAGGTCTTTCACAGCAGTTACCTAGGAAAACAACTTCCTCATGAATGATCCTCATCAGTCCTGATGAAGCAGAAAAGACTGATACTAGAAAGGGACTGGAATGAATCCTGAACTTAAAGAGTTAGAAGACCTGGGTTTGAGTCTTGGCTCCTCTATTTAATAGATGTG